GCCTTACTAGTAGTAACAAGAAGCTACTAGGAACAAGTGCATCGCTACTAGTAACAAGTGCCTTACTAGTAGCAAGAAGAAGCTAGTAGAAACAAGTGCCACGCTAGTAGTAACAGGTTCCTTACTAGTAGTAACTTCCACTGCATAGCATGTAGCCGCCCTGTTCAAGCGTTATCTTCTTTTGACCGTCAATGTGTCAATTCCAACATCTGTGTCTCAAAAAGGACCAATGGTTCCTACAGCAGGTTTTCCAAGAGACAAAGGACTCAAACAGACAAGAGGCCAGACGCATTCTAGGACCTATTGAAATCGAGAATGACTCTATTTAGAGATTAACTCTTCAATGCGTTTTTGAGCATGCAGTCCCCTTCTCCGTGCCTATTCTTCATTCTCCCAATATGGATGATATCAAAAAGGATAAAGGAAAAGAACAAGAGAGTGAAGAGTCTAAATGATCAACATAAAGAAACACATGAACTTGTGAACATCATACATAAAAGGAACATATATGATCATACATTATCGTTGTTGTAATTTTGTTTCTACCTTGCAGAAAAAGACGACGATTCATGTTGCTACATGTAGGTTTGCTCGCCGAGGACAACAACCATGCTATGCTCGTGGGCCGTGCAATTTTCTCCGTTCTGCTACTACTCTACGTGCACGACTCAGTTGACTTCGCTTCTGGTCAACAAGACAGCTTCTTGTGCACGACTCAGTCGACTCAAACAGAGTTCAAGGTGGTCTTCCTGAGCCCATTGTCGGTGAAAGTTCCAACTTTCATCCAGCACTGTGACCAGGTGGCAAGGCAGGAAACGTCGGAATTCGACTTCAAGTTCTTTGCCCACACAATATCACTAGGAGCAAGGACGCTACTAGTAGCTCCTGGCCTTACTACTAGGAACACTAAGCTACTAGGGGCTCCTGGCATCGCTACTAGGAGCGATCGGACGCTAGTTCTTCCCCACACAATATCACTAAGATGGAGGCCATCGCTAGTAGGTTGGAGGCCATGTTTGCCTGTCGCCATCATGAAGCGACAGACTTTCAGGTCCTTGTCAAACCCTCAAGTAGTCTTCATGTCGCCCACCGCTTAGAGCTGTCTTCATTATCAGAGCATCACTTCAGACCTTGGAGCAGGCAACTGAGCTGAACTGAGGCGAGACAAAAGAACAGGGCAGTCCTTTATTGTGGACGACTACTTGAAAGGTCGCTTTCCTTTGAATGCGTCCTGTTCCTTTTTCTTTTGTTTTTCCAGAGCGGGTAGGTGAAGAAGTAAGTAGATGTATAGAGATGTAAGTAGCAAGAAGTAGCCAAGTAGCCGTCGTTGTCACAAACACAGGGGACCCCTTCGCCATTATTGAAACGGCTCCAAGACTTTGGCATGAAAAGGCTCGCATGAGCAAGGACACTGTTAGGTGGAGGCCATCGCAAGTAGGTTGGAGGTTATCGCTACTAGTAACAAGAAGCTACTAGGAACAAAGGGCATCGCTACTAGGAGCAAGGACGCTACTAGGGGCTCCTGGCCTTACTACTAGGAGCATTCTTGCTACTAGTAACAAGAAGCTGTATTGGAAGTGGTTCCCGTTGGCAACGTCGCAGGTTATCAGTGGATTGACGAGAACACGCCGAAGGACTCCCGTGTAATGGCTTGGTGGGACTACGGTGGGGCACCTCAGGAGACCACAGGCGACCCTGTAGCTCTTGATCTCCTTAAGGACTCCTTACATCTTCAAGAATAGCAGAATAGCTCCCTAGTATTTATATAAGGTTGGAGGCCATTGCCATTAGGATGGAGGCCATCGCTAGTAGGTTGAGTAGGCTCCCTCTCTCTTCGTCTCCTTGAGGACTCCTTGAAGACTCCTTGAGCTTGAGGGCTCCTTACGTCTCCTTAATTACAAGAATAGCAGAATAGCTCCTCCCTTTTACCCCCAGCGCTCCGTGGCTTTCTACTAGTAGTAACAAGGGCCTCGCTAATAGTAACAAGTGCCTTATTAGTAGTAACAAGAAGCTACTAGGAACAAGAAGCTATTAGAATTAAACTTAGTAGCGAACATTGTTACTACTAGTAAGGCACTTGTTCCTAGTAGTGATGCACTTGTTTCTACTGCAAGACCTTCCGAGGCTATCAAATCACAGGCATTGCTAAGAGGACGTCCATTGCAGATGGTGCCAGCCACAGTTCGCCAAGAATCCATGCCAGTTGAACTTGCTCTTTCTTGCAGGCAACACTTGGAATCATGAACACATTGCAACCTTGGGTTGGATGCCAAGTGAGAATGATGTGAGAAGTATCAGTATTAGGTTGCAGGCCATCGCTACGTATTAGGTAGGGAAGCTCTCTAAGGCCGAACATTGACAAGCAGTGAAAAGAAGGTAGGCCTTTGCGGCTTTGCAAAAGCATCTACTTGAGCAACAGTAAAGTCTTTGTCTTGCAACTCTTTAATTGAAACACCGGAAGCAGCCTCTGTGTACTTTGAAACATGCAAGCAATTGTTTACTCTTCTTGTGTTCTTTAGACCTTTCTTGCAAACTGAACAAGGCTTCGAGGTGTGGGCATGTTGAAAGTTCATCAACAAATGCCAACTCCATGGGTGTTCGAGGCTCACAATGCCATTCGCCACTTAGCGGACTATGTCTTGGCCCTGCCCTCAGCCGCAAGATGCCCCCTGTTCGACAAGAACCCTCTTTTGTCGACAGAACTCACACCCTCCGGCTGTTTTGCCGTGAACGTTTTAAAACACGAAGACTTTTTCGTGCGTAGCTTTGCTTTCGCAGCTTATGCTTGCAGGTTTGGGCTGGTGGCGGCGGTGATGACTTGGCCAAATCGCCTCACTTGGCCAGGAAAGAGAGAGAGAGAGAGAGAGAAGAAAAGAAAAGAGAGGCCAACCTAAAAGCGATGGCCTCCAACCCAAGAGAGAGAGAGAGAGCTCTTCTAAATGATCTTTGAAGCCTGAAACGAAGACATGTCTCATTTTTTTGTGATATATAGTTGATTGACATTGCTGGTGGTAATTGGTTTTCAGGATCGGCAATTCCGTCTTCCCGGATCATTGTGGTGATGATGACCCCAAGTGCAACAAGTTTAGTTTCTATTCAGCCGGCAGCTTACGGCCTCAAGAGGCCCTGACTGGCCCTGACCAATGGAAAGGGATCCAATTGAGATCAGGATTATTCTCCTACTCCAATGATGGCAAGCTCTCTCCTGTACAAACTTTGCCAGCACAAAGTCAGCTCGCAACCTAGTACTTCTCCTGATGCAAAGAACAGAGTCTTAGAGGGAGATTCATTTCGTGCCAATAGCTGCTAGCAATGGCCTCCACTTATTTTGCTAGAATCAACCAATTTTGCTAGAAACAGATGGGATATCATTGCAAGGATTCTGAAGGAGCCAGATGATCTGAGACCAGAAAAAACAAGGCCCTGGGGTGAAGGTGAATGAGAAGCTCTTCAAGCATGTGAGGGCCTCAAGGGGACTAATTGCTACACACTGCCCAGCAATTAGAGACGAGATGACCGAACCTCGCGAGGTTCACACCACCAAACACGGCTTGATGCGAGTTTACCAAGTGATGAATGTCTCTCAAGAAAGCAAAGACTGGGTTCGGGAGCCTCAGAATTATGCTCAGAATGATTTTGACAGGGCGGGGGCGGTCAAGCATAACAAATTAATCTATTAAATATTACGTGCGCAATGCAATGGAATGGAATGAAATGCAAACCTGCTATGCTGACTCCAAGTTAGGCGAGAAGCCTTCCAAACAAGCCTTAGGTCTTGGCTAAAACAGCACACCAAATGGCAGGTCTTGGAACCCGTTACAACTATAAAATCTATAAACAAGATGGATGTTTCCTAATGTTTTGTCATTTATTCATTTTTATTCCTTTTCGTTCTTTCTTTCTTTCTTTCTTTCTGTTTCGCATCACAGTGTCAGAAACGCACGAATTCAGTTGTCGAGTCGCTCACTTCGGGAACTTGGTGACGACTCGACAACTCTTCGCTGACTCCTTGAGGCACAACCACTTTAGGTCTCAAGAAGGAACGATAAGGGGAACGTGTGAGAAAAAGATGAACACTGCATCTTTTGATGTGAAAAAGAACATCTCCCTCACAAACAACTTCAACCTCAACATCGGAGAGAACGCAAAGCAAAGCTGTCAGAGATTTCACTTGCACAAGAAGCTACTAGTAGCTCCAGGCATTACTACTAGGAACAAGAAGCTAGTAGCAAGGTGCATCGCTACTAGGAACAAGTGCATCGCTACTAGTCCTTGCATTGTGCCAAATAGCTAAGGCATCAGTAGTAGTAGTAGTAGTAGTAGTAGTAGTAGTAGTAGTAGTAGTAGTAGTAG